CAGAGAAGGGATAGGTTTCCTCCTAGCTTCCCACTGCTTTTGACATTATCCTTCCACTGCTTTGTCAACTCTTTTTGAGAGTAATAGTAACTAGGTCTGGCTAGTTGCTTTCTCTTTGCTGTCATCAACCAATCTTCATATCTGTCCCTGTAATCTCTTTGTCCTATAATCTTCCTATCAGTGACCCATCCAATGCCCTAGCCTGACAGTTAAGGCTTTCCTCCACTACCATGGCATTTACTAACATTCAACTTCAAAACTTACAGCCACTCCTTCCCTAGATCTGCCCACCCCTTCCCCTTTGTCCTTTTGAGGTCATCCATCTAGTCTAATTTCCCATGGACCTTGATTCCTTTGGAATTATCATGCAGTCTCTTTATACCTTTTTCTGTCTCTAATTTGTCTTCTAAAACTACTAACTTATTTTCCTCAATCTCTTCACCAAAACACTTGAGTAATCAGTAATTACTATTTTTATGAATTATAAGTTCTCTCAAATACCAGTCATTTCTAATCTCTAAATGTAACAGACCCTTGATGGTTGTTTCTGTAACAAGTGACACAGACTTACCTCTTCACTGAAACTCTCTTCTGAGATGGATTTCTTCAGGAGGCTGTCCTGGATCTTCTAGGACCTCAACCCTTCCTGCTCAGTATTCTCTGCCTATCCCAGTGTTGGTATTGCCTATGGTTCACCCTTCCCCCAGCTGTCACTGGAAATGGACAATTACCAAAATTCTCTTGCTACAATTTTGTCCTGTACTCTGGAATGGCATTTGTAATGACACACTCTACCCTTCCAGCTGGGTAACTTTTGAGTATCTCCAACTTAGCAAGCTCTGCTGTCTTAAATACCACCACCACCACAGGGAGACATTACTAAAACACATTTTGCAAGAAAAGGAGTAATAACGATGGTGAGTGATTTTAAAAGAAAATAAAATGTGAAATTTTCAGTCTATGGCTAAGGTATCTCAAGGAGGCAGAATTTTTCCACATACAGGATGGATGCTGATCATTACACCCAGTATCTTCAGGGAAAAGCAATTCTTTCAGCTCCTCTATCTTACTGAAAATGCCGTTAAAGAATATTACCTCTCTTTGTTCTTATTCTAAGCTCTGTGGGCAACTTTCTGATTCATAATTAGATTGGAGAAAATGGCAGATGTCTGTTATTGTGACTGGGATACAGCCTTTGTATATTCATAAACTGGCATCTAGTTGGTAAATGAATCTCCTATCACAGTTTGCTTGGTGTGAGTCAGTGTCCCAGAGTTGGTGAACTCTAGGTGAACTGTTGAGATCAAGTTTCTGTATCTGCAAAACCGAAGACCAGACTTTGGACTGTGGCAACTGAAAATAGACTGTGAACCTGAGAGGTGAGCCCCAGCTAAGGAGGTCAGCAGACTCTTCTTGTTGATATATTTTTAGCTGCACACATTTTGATTTATATCTCTTTGTCCCACACAGTGCAAAGCATCCAAAAGTTCAATACTTGCTTATTATCCGACCTCAGCTATTCAATGGAGTGTCCAAAAGAAAATACCAGATGCACTCAATTCCAAAACAAGAATTTCTAGGGTGTGCCTGGGTGCCTCCGTGGGTTAAGCCTCTGCCTTTGGCTCAGGTCATGATCTCAGGGTCCTGGGATCAAGCCCCGCATCAGGCTCTCTGCTCAGCAGGGAGCCTGCTTCCCCACCACCCCGCCCCCCTCCACCCTGCTCACCTCTCTGCCTACTTGTGATCTCTCGGTCTCTATCAAAATAAATAAATAAAATCTTAAAAAAAAAAAAAAAAGAATTTCTAGGAGATCCACAAAGTCTTCATGGCATGAAAGAAGACAAAAGAAATAATAGAAACAATAGCAACAAAACAGCACATGGAGTGGCAAAGTCCTTAGCAGGTTCAAAAAGCCTGCCATTTATTCAGTATGTATTTTCTATTGCCTTTAATTATCCCAACATCTCTGAGCTGCAGTTATGCTCCATTTGTAGTTGAGGAGCACACAGCCGAGAGATGCAAATAACTGCCCAGGGTACACAACAGTAAGTGGTAGAATCTGGCTCAAACCTAAGGCATTTTGACTGCAAAACGGATGCTCTTAAACATAGTGGACATTTGCTGTTTTGCTATTAACTATTTGCAGTAGCAGAAATATTATGCAGAGCTAAGCTTCAGAATTCACATAAACCTAAGCTTCAATGATAGTCTTTATAGTCAGTTATAGTCTCTATAACTGCAAACAGCTATCTCTAGATGTACGCTAAATATCGTTTCTTCGGGAATTCCAAATGTAATCTAAAGAAACATTAAAAAAAAAAGATGCATAGAACGAAATTAAAAATGAGTACCTCTTTATTTAAAAGTCGTTTTGAGAAACATCTCTGATCCCTTAGTCCTGTAACCCTGCACCACCTTGTACTGAGTAGTGTAGTTTCTTTTTGGGCGGGTCCTCAGGGAAATCAAATGATTTCAAAGAAATCAAATGTACTTCGTCCTGGGTCCCAGTCAACATGTAAGTAATGTGTTATGTGCACAGGTATAAACATGAGCATGTGTGTGTGTGTATTTCTGAAATGAAAATCACAAAGCCTTTAAATTAAGGAGTTTGATCTATTTTGTTTTGTGCTTATCACGACCCACTAAGGGGTCAAGATCTACAGTTTGAAGAGTCCTGCCATGTGGAAGGAATGTTTTAGTAGGAATGAGAACCTGAGTTCTTTACTAGCTCCATTTTTGAATGGAGAACTTTGCTCTCACCAGCAAACCGAGGTGATAGGATTAAATTGAATCATTCAATGGCCTTTGTTTCCATCTATCATCAAGGATTTCTTACCTTGATGCTGGTTATTTTTCTTATCAGGTAATCAGGAAAAGCAGTGCATTTCTTCCCCCTGTGAGAGAACTGACTGCCCCCACATGCCTCCTATCACACTACCTTCTTATCTGAGTCTATTTTTAAGGGGCTGCAGTACTGTCAGCTGCTCAGCCCAGGGGCCTGACTCCATCCACAGATCGGTCCCAGCAACAATGCTGGTTGGACATGTCCATCCCCAGGGTCCACCCCAAAGCAGTATAACCTTACAGCGTTAAAGCAAATAAGCACAGTATTAACATGGATTTCTAGTGACATCTGTTGTGTCTTTAATGTGCCATCCCGTCAGACTTCCAAATCATAACAGATCTACTTTGAATTCAGGGCAAGCTTTTTACATGTGCAATGGAAACTCTCACAAAATTCTAAACATTCTGAATAAAGTATAAACTTTTCAGTTCATTAAAATAAGAGAATTTAAAAGCCATATATCTACTTGTAGAGAGAAAGTTCTCTGACTCTAATCCCGAAGTGATTTTGAAAATGCAAACATTCTCCAAGCTTTATGGTAAATTTTTGAATCAGAAAAATGACTATCTGTATTATTTCTGTGTATGCACTAAATATACACACATACACACACACAAAACTCAACCATGCTGATAATAAAGGGAAATTCTTATGAAGGAAGTTTGGATAGTACAGCTAATTAAGGAGTTAAAACTGAGTGACATGCATCATAAGGGCTGCACGTGATTTACACTTTTCTGCCCACAGGATTTTATGACAGGGCACCTGTCTCAGCTGACAACCAGAAAACCCAACACAGCACCATTATAAACCTACCTTTTCCAATGAGGGAAAAAGGTAATGCTCTAAGTATGCTTCCATTCCATTAAATACTTTTTAACCACACGGGACCAGCTATTTACTTTTTAATAAACTTGAAAGAAGCAGGCAATGTAGGCTAATGGATAAACAGAAACCACAAAGGATTATTATTAATATGATTACTCCCATGGATAAAAATTAGAGGAGAAAAGATTACAGCTAACATTTAAACACTAGTATAAAATATATAACAATTCTGTATTTTCCCCTGAAATAATGATAATCTTATAAATTATTTTGCACCAGAATTAGCACTTCCTTTTCTATAGTCTAGGCCACACCATAAGAAATAAATACCATGCCAGCCAGAATATGTGTCAAAATTTGCCAAAACTGATGAGTATTAACATTATAATAACACAGAAGCCATCAGATCACATTTCATAGTTTTATTGAGACGTTTTCAGTTTTAAATGTCTATTGTAGGTACAATTCTGATGATCATATCAAAGCTCTATTATAAATAGCAGATAGTAAGTTGGCTGCATGCCTTAGACACACACACAAGCACACGATATTGTACACTCCCCTGCATGCAAACTTAAAGGAATATACATTCCTTTTATTAAAAACACAATTACGTACAATAAGTCTGGAATTTGTTAAGCTACCATTGATTTAGATAAACCTGAGAAGGCTCAAAATGTCAAGTAACACTGTTTCCATACTCCCCATTCAATGAAACTGCTAATCACAAAGAAATCTAGTTAAACTATATTAAAATCACAGATAATATAAAAATAAACATTTCTGCAAGAACACTAAACATATTAGAATTCAAAGTCACAAATTTTGATATGTAACATTCCCCTTCATGTTAATTTGTAATGATGTGTATGATACAATGTACAACATAATAAAAATTGTAACAGAGTTCAGCAGCCAAATCATTTACAGTTATCACTATAAAACTTGAAATTAAAGTTATCAACTGAACAACAAAAACATTAAAATAGCAGTGTTGAACTTGCTGGTAGCATGTTACTTAGAAACTCCATCTCAACTCAAGTTTATACTTTCACCTTAAGAAGAAACAAAACAAAAATGTAAGCAGAACTGAGGACAGTAAGGGATCACACCAGCTGCCTTTTTCTCTCTCTCTCTCTCCATAGTTTTTCCTCAAGTTCTAATCTATCTATAATGCCCATTCTTTCAGACTTCTAAAATGTAAGAAATCTACTTTGAATTTAGGACAACTTTCGCACTAGAATTGGAAGCTTCAACCATATTTGGAGACACAATTCTAAAGTTCTTGAAAAGACAATATAAACTTTTCTATGTCATAAAAAATACAGACCTAGTCTGGCAAAGATATTTTGTATTTACTATTGAGCGCTTACGACAGTATGACACCACAGTATGTCTGTACAGAGAACTCTAAGTAAAAAGGTAAACATGCGAAAGCACTTCTAGAGAAAATTAGCCACTTGTATCACAAAACATTCATATTTTAGATAAAAAAATCGACAAACATTTCAAGATACTGGTATTTGAAAGGCGTACTATACAATAACTCATTTTATCTATGCATCACATTCCATAAAATACACTAGTGTGACATTATATATACATTGTAATAAATATAATTTACATCAGCATATTTGATCTTTCAAGAAGCTTTTTAATTTGTACAACTGAAGAATTGTGAGTTTCATCAATAAATACTATTATGTTAATTGTAAATTGACCAACTAAGTTAAAGCTTCAAGATATCCCTAACTACTTACATATCTTTATTTTCCCTAGTCCAATTCCAGCTGCTATAAACACAGACGTCTCTTGTATCCAAAAGAAGTTTACTGTACTGAGGAGATGGAGAAGACTTATAGGGCAGAGGTCCACATCATAATTGGTGAACTTTGTGAGAATTTCTAGCCAAGGACTGGAATGGAAGAGTCCTGGAAAGGTACAGTAGCAGATTTCATGTACCTCTGGCTGGCTGTGTTTTTAATGTTCTACCACATCCCCTGAGGTCCCAACAGATGGAGTTCATCTAACATTTTAATCCATGGAGAATGGCATTGAAAGGGTCAAGAGTTCCACAGTTGGTCAAGTGGCAAGGTCATGTTTTTAACACTGAATCCTACTCTCTGCTGTATCTCTTCTTGTGTTTGTATTTTTATCATTTCCGTGCAAATGGACAGTGATGCTTAGCGAGTCTAAGACACCAAGTGGTGAGCCAAAAATACCTTGAACTTGGCATGAAAATAGTTTTGTAGTGTGACATTTAGTTAACTAAGTTCTATAATTTTAGCAGTTCTTTCATCAACATGCCAACAGAGTTCTGCCTTTACTATTAAAATACCTACTTACATTGTCACATGTCATCAGATTTCCAGCCAATAGATCACTGCTTCATCCTGACTCTCTGTATGTTTTTATCATTATCACAGACTCTTCCTGGAGACCTCTTTGTGCCTAGAAGGGGTTGGGCAAGATCATTCTTGTTACTATTTGGCATGTATTCACATGTTGTCATTGTCCACTATATCACGAATGAAGAAGAAACACTGGAAAAAAAAAATGCCAAGAAGTAAAAGGGCATTTCTTGGCACTGTCCACCTCACTGGATCCTCAGCCCCAAAGAAAGTCCGCTGGGAGCTGAAACACAATGTATGTAACATGTATTATAAACCAGGATGGCATCCTGAGACCTAAAAGGAAGAAAGTGAATGATGAGGAAATATAGAAATATATACCTTTAGCTTAAGAGTTCAAGGATGGTACAGGCTTTGAATTTCCATTTTGGTGAATGTACTGATCTTAATCCTGTGTCATTGAGGATGATGTTTGACAGGGATCATACAGTAATGATGTATTTCATACTTTTTCTTTTAGGATTCTACACAATGAATGCTATAGAGGACCCTAACCAAGTGAGAACCTTAACTAATCTCTTTCCTCAAAATGAGGTGGTGTAGGTAAGACCTCTAACTGGTTTCTTTTTGATTTGGGTCCTACAATTCTGCGCATTAATCCAAACATATAAAAAAAATCACTTTTTAGTAAAGCTTAACACTGCTTCTCATCATTGATCTTAGTGGCCAAAGACTGCTAAGAAGAAACTGAAGGTCTCACAAATCCACAGGCCACCCAAGTACCACAGGAACTGATCAAGTCCTGATGGTCCTGTCTCTGTATCCTACAGGTTCTTGCCTTAAGACAGACTCCAAACTACTTTACTTACAAAGTGCTTTCCAACAAGTTAGTCTGCCAACAGTTGCAAACTCTAATTCTGTTTTGGTTTTTTTTTTTGAGGCTAGTTTGACAGAAATTCCTTTGATATTGGATATATTAAGAGTTAAAATTGTGTTACCTCACCTTATCATTCTACATTCTATAGATTTTGACCATTTCAATGGCTAGAAATGCAAATATTTAATATTATCAATTGAAATTCAGTCTTCATTGAAAACTCTTATTAGAATTACTGAAATATTTTGTGGAATTTTTATTACTGCCTGGCAGAGGGGAAAAAAAAAAAAAAAGAACTGGCCAGTAGTCTTCTCTTAAACTGTTAGCAGTCGGATTTGTAATCTCCACAACTTTTCAGTGCTGTGGTACCTTATGTACTGCATAAACTTAATTCTCTTATTTCCCTTTCCCATATATTTGCAGTTTTCTTTTAACTTTAAGGATATAAGATCCATTATAGGATCATAGCTTTTCATTCTAGCAACACAACCTGTACAGTTTGCTGCCTTTTTTTTAATAATGCATTTAATGTTTTCCAACATTTTGAAGAGGCAAAAGAGAGCCTTTCACCATTTTAAAGTCCTTATTCTAAAATTGTTTTCTCTAAACACACACACACACACACACATCCACATAAACCCCCATCTTTTCCCCACTCTTAGTTGCCTCATACATTTGGGAAAATATGCTTGTAGCCTATGCATTGTGAAGGACTGTCAACCATTCTCCCTCTGATAATATCATCCTCTTGGCCAACAGTCTTCAACCCTGGTGTGTAATAGAGCTGCATTTTTACATTGTTATTACAGCTATCAGTGAGCATTCATTTTGCAACACAAACTCCTAAGGCAGTGTGCAACAGCCACAGTGCAAGGAAATGTTCTTTATCACAGGAAGTCTAAGAGTTCACAGTGTTTACAAGTACATGAACTTTGATTGTTCTAAATGCAATATTCCTGTAAGATAATATATGTAGACTTCCACCACCCAACATCTAGCACCTATCAGAAGTTTTCTAGAAGTAGCTGGGAAATAAGCACTTTCTAGGTTTTTACACTGACTTAACTTTTCTATTCAATTCTGCGAAGAAGCTCAGCCGGCTACCACCTATGTTTCTAGGACCAAAAGCGACGCCCAGCTGAGATCTCTTCATCCGAAATTAAATGAATCAAGTTTAGTAATTTTGCTAAACTTTGAGAATGTGGATTCTGTTCCTACCATGGGTCACTGAAAGCTCAAAATTTCAAGTGCTAGTTCTCTTGGAGAAATTATTAATATCAAAATACCTGTAGTACTCAAGTGCCCTTTACATAGAAAAGCTTGTGAATTTTCAAGGCAGATGAGAAAGTAAATGTTTAACTAGGATGGTTTAATTTTATCTTACCTACTTCTAGTTAGAAATGGTAGCGTTGAAAGTGAACCCAAACAAGCCAACTGGAGGGAGTGGGTGTTTTCACTTTTTTTTTTTTTTTTTAAACTCACTTGGACTTAGTTTTCTCTAAGCTTACTAGAAACTTAAGGGGGAAAAAAAAAAAAAAAACATTTGATTCCATTAAGCATCCTACCATGTTACAAAAGTGGGTGTTCGGTGATCCTTGCCTCTTCACAAGCTTGTATCTCCATTCTGCTTGAACTCCGACAAAATATTGAGGGTCATGTCTTCGCTCTTGGATTGCAAATTTGCCTCACTTCTTCTGGAAGCTTTCCTGGTGGCTCTGGAGAGTCTCCTCCTGAACGTATCTCCTGCCAAGAAATAGAGAATGGGGTCCACACAACTGTTGAGACTTGCTAGACCTCTTGTCACCTGATAAGTGGCATAAACCTGGTCATTGAATGCACACATTTCTGGGGTCTGAAAATCCAGCCGGGCCCTCAAATTCATCGTTTTCATTACATGGAAAGGGATGTAAGAGACAGCAAAGACAGTCAGTACGATAATCACCAGGTAAATGGATTTCCTCCTCAGAGGCGAGTTGTCCAGGTCGTTGTAGATCAAAGCCCTCACAATTAATCCATAACAGCCCAGAATCAGTACCAAGGGGACACAGAACATGGCCACAGTGGTGCACATGCTGTAGATGAAATAACTTCGCAGGTACTCGTCGGAGGTGGTGTCGTAGCAGGTGATGGTTTTGTTTTTCCGGACCTGGGTGCCTGAGTAGAAGAGGATGGGGGAGATTCCCACCACCACGATGAGCCACACCAGCACGCTGATGTAGACTGCATTCTTCTTCTTGAGCCTGCCCAGAGACTTGAGCGGGTACACCACACCGCTGTAGCGGTGCGCGCTGATGCAGGTTAGGAACAAGATGCTGCCGTAGAGGTTCACATGGAAGATAAACCTCTGCAGCTTGCACATGGCATCCCCAAAGATCCAGTCCGTCTTATTGAAGTAGTAGAAGATGAGCGCGGGCAGAGTCAGCACGTACAAAAAGTCGGCCAGGGCCAAGTTGAACATGTACACGGAGATGCCGCTCCACGGCTTCATGTGGAAGACAAACATCCAGATCGCCACGCTGTTGCCCAGGAAGCCAATAATGAACACCAAGATGTAGACAGCCGGCAGGTAGTAGAACTGGAAGCCCGTCTTGGTCAGGGAGCATGCGAACGAGGCTGCGGCGACAGCCGCGGTGGAGGCTGCGGTGCCGTTCCCCCAGGGCAAACCCTGGCCGGCCGGGAAGGTAGCGTCCGTCCCATTGGGGACAGCCGGCCACAGCACCTCGGTCATTCTCTCCTTTCCTGACTTACGCCGCGGCTCCTAGGGGCAAGTAGCAGCGAGAGGGCGGCGGCGGCGGCGAGGGGCGCACCGAGCATTGGAAAACCGAGGGAGCAGAAGGGAGTGGGCGCCGGGGATCCCCACGGGAGGGGGCACACACAGGCAAACCCACACCGGCTCCGGCCCCGCGTTCGCCGCGGGCCATGAAATCCACCCGCAGCCGCGACCAAGCCGGGCTGGCAACCGAGCCAGCAACTTCCCCGTCCGTCTGGTCAGTGTGGAGGTTACACAACCGGGCGCACAGGGCACTGCTGACAACTTTCAGACTGCGCTTTCCGGAGGGTTCACTGGTCCTCACGGGACAGCGGAGACGGCGCTGGGGGTTCAGCGAGGAGGTCGAGCCAAACTCAGTACTGCGTTCCGGCGTGGGGAAGGCGCTCCCCAGCCTTCTTTCCCCGAAGATCAACTTCGTTTGCGTATCTTCTTTTTCCCTACCTTGCAAGCAAGCTGCTCCTTTCAGGGGGCCCGCGATCTTTCCTCCTCGGTCGCTGCTCTGGCTCAGCCTCTGGGGGCCATCAGAGCGCGCGTCACCGGCAGACCCGCGCGCCTCTGGATCGCCGGGTGTTCACCCTCAGTGCAGCTCAGGGCCCCTCCTCAAGGCCCTGCTCCGGCGAGTGCTGGGGGCAGGCGGCTCCCCGCGAGGATGGGCGGAGTTTGGGCTCCCGGGAGGCTAGGGGCGTGCCTCGGCGAAGCCAGCCCGGCTGCCCGCCAGAGCTTTTCAGAGCGTCCTCCTGGTGCCAGAGCAGGCTTCCTTGGAGGTCTTCACGGTGACCGAGAGCGCTCAGCCTCTGCCCCTCCGCTGCTCCCAGAGGCGCGGAGGGTGAGGGGGCGCTTGGTCCGCGGGGCTGCTGGGGAGCGATTGGCCCGTGAGCGCCCCTTCGCTCTTCCGCCAGCTATCCGGCAAGGCGAAGTTGCTGACACACAGGAAACCCTGCTGACTGCTCACAGCCTTTGACTACAAACTCTAGAGCCCACGGGTCCAAAACAGAAGTCTCTAGGGCCCTTAAGAACTATGCCAGGTGTCTGCAGGTTCCAAGCAGCCAGCAGTCCCCAGCTGGGAACGCCCTGCTATTGCAGTGCTCCTAGCTTCGCGGAGACCAGATTCCAAGCACTTGCTGGAACCTGCTACTTCAAGGGAACAAGAGCGTTCGAAGGAGGGAGGTTTGGGAGGGGAGAGTGTCTTTCTGCCCTTCTAGTCTGCTTTTTACTTTTTAGTTCCATATTTTTTCTTAACCAAATTATAGTCAACTGAGGCTATTGGCAACTTATTCTCTAAACGGGTATTGTAAGTAGTATTTCACGTTGCTTAAGATCTACCGCCTCTGGGCAACATAGCGTCCCCATATCTGGCCGCCCAATACATTTCGAGATCAGAGGCTGCATTATATGGTTTTAGAAATAAGTATTAAGTACAGCTTTACAGAGATCGATGTAAAGGCCAGTTACAACTCCAAAATGAGTAAGGTATGATTTGGGGGTTTTATTACCAATCCTGTTTCTTTAGGTTAAAGTGATCCATCACAGTTAGCTCTATTAAGTACCTTAGCATTGTAGGTTGGGACTTCCTTAACATCACCCTTATTGAAAAACTCATTTTCATGGCTTGAATATATCAAAATTTTAAGCAGAGCACTTCAAAACTATATTTCATTGGAAAAAAATGAATTATTAACTTTTCAGGTACATGTTTAAATGGACTCACAGTAGTGGAATCTAGCACTGCTTGACAGTTCATTAATTAACAACATATTTTATGTGAAATGTTTAAGGCTTTTCTTTTAGAGGAAAAAAAATCTAAAAAGTAAAGATCTGTAAAATATGTATCGTGAAAAGTAAAGATCTGTAAAATATGTATCGTAAAGATTTCTTTCTGGTCCTAGATGTTACATGATAGTGTTCTCTTAAAAAGTATCCAAAGGAAAACCACTAGCTCCTGGCTTTGCTACCACAAGGAAAATTCTCCAGAAGACTCAGAGGGTTCTTTAGAGAAAACCATATGGGAAGGACCCTACTCAAATACATTACATCATGAACACACTGGTATTTTGAGTTGTGGTCATTTGCACAGCATGAAAATAAATGATAAAACTAGAGTAAATAACTTAAAAGGGCATGAATGTTGTTTTGAAAACAGTCTTAATTGAAAGGAATGTTTCCTCATCTATAAAATGAGGAAGGTAATTTTATTATCTTTTGTTTTTCTTACCTCAGTCTCCAAAGTATAGGATTCTATAATTCTGAGGCTTAGCATGACACCTTTTCATCTGATTTGATTAGGATAGTACTAACTGGGATGATATTCTACTAAGAGAGGAGCAAAGGAAAGCTCTAAGAATTTCATCTGTACTCAATAGGTCCTAAGGCAGTCCTTTGAATTTTTCATTTGTAACACAAGCGGTATGTAACCTCACTTAAAGTATGTTCCAAATGTGTTAACTTAATGTGTTTTAAAAGGTAGTTAGTCCAAATACCATTAAGTACTTTCAGAAAACTGGACCCTTGACTAAGAATTTGGAGGAGAGAGGTCCTAAGTGAACTACGTTACATAAATATTGTAAATACTGCTTTTACATTCAGCATAACGAACTACACATTTACAATGTTTAATATGTTTTTTTTTTAAAGATCTTATTTATTTATTTGACAGAGATCACAAGTAGGCAGAGAGAAGAAGGGAAGCAGGTCCCCTGCTGAGCAGAGAGCCCAATGCGGGGCTTGATCCCAGGACCCTGAGATCATGACCTGAGCTGAAGGCAGAGGCTTCAACCCACTGAGTCACCCAGGAACCCCTGTTTAAGTTATGTTTTAAATCAAAACTTGTGTCTTGTAGGAATAATTTATATGTATTCAAATTATTGTTTGTTGACTTTCTATTTGTAATGCACTGAACTAGGTTTAATGAAGGAAAAAACAAAATACTGTCTGAAATCCAAAAACATGTTCATATTTGTTTCTTTAGTACCAATTATAAATACCTTAAAGGTATAAAAAGAATATGCAGAATATACTCCATAGCTTTAAGTGATTTGCCTCAAAATTGCATATAAATTTGCTTTGTATTTGATTAATGTAAATGTCTGACTTCAAGGGATTTATAATTTAGTTGGAAATGCAAAGAAAGTACAATAACAGAATAATAAGCCTTTCTTATATATAGTCAGCACTATGCACACATAACAAGAATTATTTTGAATTTTAATCCTTAAAAATTTTTCTCTAACTGATAATTGTATCCCTGTTTTTAAGTGGTGAAACAAAGGCAGGGAGGTTAAGTAACTCATCCACTGTCACACAGTAGAAACTGAAGTTTAAAGTTCAGACATCTTTCCCCACAGCCCCATATATTTTACCATTATTCTGTGATTAAATACACACAAATACAGTACAGTGATAGGAAAATTAACTCTTAGTGGCCATTGCAGATCGAACATAGGGTGAGTCCCAGAAGCCTTCTACTAAGAGAAAATTTGGAGCCAGATCTTGAAGGTACTAATAGAGTATTTCAGAAGCTTCCCAAGTATGCTAACTTCTCTACTTAGCATTTTAAAAAGTAGCCAACAATATATAGATGATCTGAGGACAGACATTCATGGAGAAGTCAGATCTGTTGAGCCTCAGACTCAAATAAAAAGGCTGTGCTTCCTGTGTTTACAAAGGTTCTCATAGCCATTGTTAGGAATCTCTTCTCTTTCTTAAAGTCACAGAAAACTACCAATCTTAGAGGATGGAAATATCATCGAAAAGATTCTAATCGAAGGCTGCAAGTATAAGAAACTTATAAGCACAATATATAAAATTCCCCAACTTCAAAGTTGAGACCAAGAAACATGAGATTTGATTAAACAATACAACAAATGCTAAACCTAATTTGGCAGCCAGGACAATGTTAAGATTTTGGAGGTAAGAAACAAAGACCTTGATATAGGAGAGAGAGAGGAATTTCTTAGAGGATTCCCTTAAGTATAATAATTAAGATGAGATCACTTCTAAGATAACACCTTAGGAAAGACCCTACTATTCCCCCAAGAAGACAGGACAAAGAAATAGAAGGACAAAGTCTAAGGAATTCATAGCTAACATCCTCCAGTAAAGGAGAAGGAAAGAGGGCTATGGGGGAATGGGAGTGGGATAAGACCATACTGAGAAAAAGTGAAAGGATTTTTCCTGTGCTGGAGCCCAGCTGCTCCTATGAATTATGCACTTGTCATGGAGCTAATCAATAGGCTTCCTGAAATATATTTCATTAAAAAATAGATATAGGACATGAACAGAGGACAGCCCTGCTGCTCCAAGGTTGGAATGAGAAGAGGAGAGAATAAGAGACCAGAGAGACCAGAGGAAAGAAGTGGGAAAGAGGCAGAAGGGCGGGGGGAAATAGAGGAGGGGAAACACTAGGTGTGTGGGGTAGGGGGAAGGAAGAGAAAGTAAGGCACTACATTGAATTGGGTGGAGACCTTTGAAAAATCTCACAGAACATTGCTTTTCAATTATTTAGGTTTAAATCTGGGTAGGGGTGTGTCGGGGGTGGGGGGTCTGGTCTTGTGGTCAGAGTAATGTCCCTATTGAGTGTCTGCCCCTTGGTAGATGACATTGAGCCAGGTTTTCCCTCTGTGCCCTACCACTTGCAAGAATCTATAAAATCACAGTCTACCTAAGTCTTTCATCTTTCAGAAAATTTCTTGCTTCCAGAAGTTAGGATTATTCTAGGTAACTGCCTTCCTAGATTTACTTCTTTAATATTTATTTCCCTTATCCCCTTCCATAGGAAGCTCTAGCCCCTAGTCCCAGGTACTGTGAAATATTTTAAAAACACTTTTCGTTAAATCCAGAGTAAAGGCTCCAGTCCAGGTTTATAGCCTCAGTCTTTCTCTAGCAAATATTCCCTTTGCTCTTTTTGTCTCTGAGCTCTTCGGTTTCACAAGGGCATGTCCATAAAGTCTGTGGGTGCACAAATATCTTTAGAGCCAGTTACTCATATCTGAAATGTTACACCATAATTATGGATCCATGGAGGGTTTCCATGGTGG